TGTTTGCCTTTGTAAGCTACTTTCAAGCAGCTTAAATTAACTTACACCTCAATAAAGTGCTTTAAAGCGCTTAAACATTACGGCCTTAAGCTGCTGAAAGCGGCTTCAATCCATTAAACCGCTGAATACAGCTTAGAATACGGTTTGATAAGCGCTTTCCAGCATTTATCATGAAAAGTGCTGTAAACTTTCATCTTTTTAAGCACTTTCCAGCAGTTATCATAAAAATCGCTTATTAGTGTTGTGATTTTTATTATTTCTAAGCACTTTACAGCACTTTACACAAGAATCGCTGAAAAGTGCTTCATTTTTTCTCACATTTAAGCGCTTGGCATGGCTTAGATTAAAACGCGCTGAGAAAGATGGGTGACTGCTACAGAGGGTTAACTAGAAATATTATTGATTGCCAATCTGTCTTACTTTCCGAAATATTTTTTGTTTTTTTCTGAGCAGAAAATGCTCAAAAAATGAGTCGTGGTCACCGTTACTGAACTTCGAAATACGTTTTTCGATCATGATCGTCCCTAATCTCCATCAAGTTGTCGCACAACTTAAAACCACTAGATCTGTCCCTGAGAAATTCCAATTTGTTATCTTCTTTTCTGGTCCCTTTTTTTTCAAATTTTGAACTCTTTTTTCAGTTTGTTTGAATTGTTTTTTTATGCATGTGATCTTTTTAAAATCTAGTAATGTATGTTATTTATTTTATACTTCTTTTTCCGTGAAGTTTACTCGGGATTTTTCTGAAAGAGAATGAGAACGTCTCAACTCGTCACGTGACGAGTTGAACAAACAGCAAAAATCAGACCTTTCGTAACACCAAAAATAGGGATATCCAAAAATACAGGGATGTCGTAACGAAATTTACAGGACGATCGTAACGATTAATACAGGGAATTCGTAACAGTTGCAGAGCTTTCGAAACGAAGCAACAGGGATTTCGTAATGAGGATGAGGGTGATAGCTGAACTGAGTTTGCAGAAATTACATGCTTTTCGTTACAAAAGCTCTGTAATGGTACATATTAAAACACCAATTACGATCACCCTGTAAACTTTGTTACGAAACCCCTGATTTTTTGTTACGAAAGCCCTGATTTTGTCGTTACGAAAGCTCTGTCACGGGCTTTCGTACTGTCAATTCGTTACGAAAACCAGACAAGGAAAAACGTGACGAGTTGACACATTCCCAAGAGAATCATTTCGTAGTAAATAACTTTCTTGGATTCTTCTGATGAACCGAACTGTATAATTATCTATGCTATTTTTTTCCGGTTACCTGTATCTTAAAGTACATTTTAAGATAATTTGTATCAATGAGTAGAAACAGTAAAACAATTTATTAGAAGAAAAAGATAACAGATTCGTTCATAAAAAGCAGTTTCCAATTTTTTCCGATTTTTAAAAAATATCTTAGCTTTTCTGATTTTGAAAATGAAAACTCCGGTTTTAAATTTTCCATTTGGAACATCTGATGCCATTGCATAGTAAATGCCTCGATGCAGCGTTGCTATTGGTTTATATTTGTGTCATTGTTCGGCGCGATATTTTTCGAATACAGGACAACAGAACAGAACGAAAGAATTCAACGGTCGTTTAACATAAGGATAGTGTAGTGAATACTTGAAAAGAAAATGCAAGGAACTGACCATATGCTGAATAGTAATTTTATTATTAATCTGTCGCACGTATGCACAGAAGGTAAGTCTCGTGTTTTTTGTTAAGTGATTTATAAAAAAAAAGGCTTTACCCATTGAACTCCTCGTCTACGTCTTGAAAAGAGGTGGATAGTAATAGATGTCTTTTGTTACATATAAGTATTTTCAAGAATTTTTCTTGTGCTCCCTTTTTTCTTGCTACGTAGGTTTGAGATAAGATGTCTTTTTCATTAATTCGTTTGTATTGTTTTACATAGCTTCTTTGAATTTAGCTCTTCATATTTCTTTTCTTCGCATGGCGAAAATTTTTAATTAAAATAAGAGAATGATTGACATCATTGGTATTACTTTATTGAAACACTCCACTGTTAACTGATAATACCATTAGTCATCAAAGGAAGAACCAGATAAAGAAGCACAAGAAAGTTAAAAGTGAACATTAAAACACAACAAGATTAATAGAGAAATTATATTCATATAATGCTTCCTTGTAACTTTTCATTTGTTTGCTTATTTATTTCCTTCTTTATGATTGATGGTTTTTGTAAGTTAACAACAGAACATCTCAATAAACTGATTGTAACAGTGTCAATTATTTTCTTATTGTTAATCAGTCTTTCTTTTTTTATTTGTGTGAAGAAATTCTTCCGTTTACTTTTTTTTTAACTAAACGTTTATTCTTTTTTTCAAATAGTGACATTGAATGTTTAAGTACGCGCCGATATATAATAGTCTTGATAAGAGATTCGTTCACACTCAGCTAAAGTTTTTTTATACTAAATAGTTACTGGAAGTGCCTATAATTTTATTCTAAAACATTGTATAGCGACAATTTAGATTAGTTTGTACAGAAAGTGTTCTTGTGAACGAAACTTACTAGTCAAGAATATTATAAAATCAAAGTGAAGTACTGTAAGCAAGCTAATTGCTTTCAAACATGAGACTAGACGTTCAACGGTTAGGCGCTACTCTCTCTGTTCAGATTTTAAGTCGTAAATAAATCCTATACCACTTACGAACTAATATTCATTGTTGATCAGATTCTATTGCAATCATTCTGAGCCTATATATAGAGGACTCCTAGAATAGTACGATATCCAAACGAGTTCGACTAGTTCTGAATAATTATTCCAGATAATAACTTGATAACCGTGTCCTTCTTGGCAAGCAATTTCGAAAAAATTTTTTTTTGAACTTCGACCCTTATTTCTACTTCCATGAAGTTCGCAGTCAAACTATCTCATAGATAAAATTTCATCCATTTGTAATATAACATGGGCCAGATATGAACTTCTCAAATTATCCCCGGTTTACACAATATTTAGAAACAGCGTACAGATTTTGAGATTTTCCTATCTTGCCCATGACATACTACAAATTGATGAAATGTTATCTATGAGATAGCCTAACTGCGAACTTCATGGATACAGAGTTAAGGGTCAAAGTTTGAGAATTTTTTTTTTTGAAAATTGCTTGACCAGAAGGATACGGGGTATAAAGTTATTATCTGGAATAATTATTGCGAACTAGTTGAACTTGTTTGGATATCAAAAGGTTCTAGGAGTCCTCCATATATAGACATAAAATGATGGCAATAGAATCTGATCGACAATGAATATTAGTTCGTTTAAATCCAGTGCTTGTAAGCGCTTAAACATGTAATTATAAGCGTTGTTCGGCTGCTTGAAAGTGCTGAAACTTCCAAGAGTAAGCGCTTGAAAGTGCTGAACTGTGTATATTTAAGCACTTTTCAGCAGCTTAAAATGTGCGCTTTTTTGTTTAAATTTTCACATGGGTAGTATGAAATAGCAAGTTAAAATTAAGAGATAAATCATCATAAATATTTTTCATACAAAAAAGACTTAAATCATTGAAATGTCTTTGATTATATCAAGACGATTTCACATAATAGGAAAAATATAATTATGGTAACAATAATAACATATGATCAGGCATACAACGAAGAGATAAAAGAAAATATATAAGAGAAAAGTAAGATATAAGGATATTAATAATAATATGCAAGAACTTTACATTGGATTACTCTCTAATAAAAAGGAGTTTGGCAGTACTTTGAAGGGTTCTGTAGCTATTATAGATTCTGCTATCAGATACGTTTTTGGCAAACTCCGTTTTCTAGAGAATATGTATTTTCTCAACATCACGAATGCAAAGCATAGTATCAAATTGTTCTGGATCTAACTAAGTTCTGCCTTAATAAATCAGGCCGACAACTTTGGTTTGGTCTAGCCTACTAGCCGAAGTTCACTATTATAGAAACTGATCAAGTCAGGTTGGTAGCTCTGAATTATTTATGGAAATAGAAACTTTCGCAACCCTAGCTGTTTAATAATTTTACGTCTAATATCGAGTATCAGATGTGCGGTATATTGAAAAAAGACAAACATCTACGGGGTTATTGCGACACAAAGAGAACGACTCTTTCTTTTTAAGCACTAGAAAGAATAAGACCAGAATTCGAGAAACATTTTCTTGATATCAACTCAAAGTAAAAAGACTTATACAACGCATTGTACTTATTAGTAATGAAGGAGCGACAAAATAGAAATTTAGAAAAAAAACATAGTCTGTATTTTGTAATCGACTGCGCTGTTCAGATTTTAATGAAAGCTCTCGATTAATATATAAAATGACTCAGAAAAATCAAGAAAAAAATTATATTACTAAGAAAAAGCAGATTTCTAGCGAATGAAGATAGGAGAAGAATATTTCCGCGATTAGAAGGTTCATCAGGATATCAGAATATGGTGATCGTGATGGTGCTAGATAGAACGGAGAAGAACTATCGATTATTCATCATTCCATGATGGTTAAACAAGAATTTGAGATGCTTGTTTGATACGACCGTTTACGTACCGTATTGGTCGACCCGAGAAAAAGTATTTTTCAGATTATCATTTTCTTGTAAAACGAAAAATAATTTCTACATATTTACCAGACAGAAATATAGCGTCACTGCCCAACAAAATAAATGAAATTGAAAATGTATACACTTCAAATGAATACTCTAATATTATTCGTGAATTACTTGTGAAAGAGTAAATTCTCTTAACGAAAAGCAATATCTTAAAAACTAATTTTTCTTTGATTCGATTTGGTCAGTTAAGAAAACAGATAAAAGTCGATGCTTCCAGAAACTTTAATACATTAATTCATCTTGAATGCTGATACTATTATTATTGTTATCCTGATCGCTTCAATTGCTAATAAGTAGGAAATTGCCGTTTTTATTCGAAAAAAGCCAACATTAGCATCACACTAATATATTCATTACAATTTCTCTACGTACAAATATTTATATTTAGCTGTGTTAACAACTACGATGACCGCCACAACCGTAACGAGTTCAACGACATCCTCAACGTCAACAACTTCATCAACAACGACTACGACAACATCTTCAACTTCAACAACGACATCTTCAACGTCAACAACTTCATCAACAACGTCCACAACAACATCTTCAACTTCAACAACGACATCCTCAACGTCAACAACTTCATCAACAACAACATCTTCAACAGCAACAACTACGACGACATCCACAACTTCAACAACTCCAGCTCCAGGTAGTGTATCGTTTTCGTTCTTTGAAGCTGATAGCTTCAGGAAGATGATCTTTTATTGATGAGATTTGATATAAAATTAAATGTTTCATCTACTATACTACTTTTTCAGTATGCAACTGACGCAAAAGATTTTCTACCAAGAGAATTAAGATTGTTTTTATCTTGCTAAACTATGAAATATTTCGTATAGAAATGATGGACAACATTGCCTTAAAGGGCTTTGTTTGACGAATACAAAGTTTTTTTTACTTATATCGAGATAGAAAGGGTTCACACCAACTACAAGCAGCAATTTTCCATTCATGACTGTGATTTGTTTAACCCTTTACGGCCGGCTACCAGAAGATAGCAAGCAAAAAATTCTCCTTCTATATATTCTTTGTCTCTTAGATGTGGAGATTACCGAAATCCATCTTGTAGTTAAAAGAACTGATACTGAGCCGAATGCCAACATGTTGCCTTTTGGCAACAACCGGCCGCAAGGGTACAAAAAGTTGGGAAAAGTGAATTATTTTACCTCGATGAAAGTCCAATAATTTGCTGTTGGTTTTAGTCCAGATTGTCAAAAAAAGGCATACTTTGTTTATCTGCCTACCTCTTACAGCCTCAATGTGCAATATATTGCCAAAATACTCAAAAACTTTCTGAAATAGTGCAAATTTCACCTATTTTCCCTATGGAAGCCCATGAATTTAGTAAGATTTTAACAAGACTAGTAATGTTTTATAGTAGTCTGAATAGGAATACTATGATGTACTGTAAATCTTGTTAGAATCTCGCTGAATTTGTGAGCTTCTCTGGAGAAAATAGGTGCAATGTGCACTATCTCGGAAAGTTTTTGAGCATTATGGGAATATATCGCACATTGAGGCTGTAAGAGGTGGGCAGATAAACGAAGTATGCTTTTGTTTGATAATCTGGACTAAAACTAACAGCAAATTATTGGACTTCCATCGAGGAAAAATAATTCAATATTCCCAACTTTTTGTACCCTTGCGGCCGGATGTTGCCAAAAGGCAACATTCTTGTACTCTATTCTTCGAGTAAACTGAATGATTTATTTTATTGATATAATAGATAATGGATCTGGAGAGGAAAATTAACCACTAGTTACTTCTCGCATCGAGTGCTCGCACAAATGGAAAACAGATCATTTCGACTCGAGGGCTGTTTCGGGTGTTGGCGGGAGAATTCATCCCTCTCGTCAATAATAGCTTTCTCCTTTCTTGAAAAGGCATAGGTTTGCCCTAAAATGCATATAATTAATTATCAAATCGCTTAAGGAACTATATCTCATCACTTTAAGATAAATCCTAAGATAATATTGGCAAAATGTTGCCATTTGGCAACATCCGGCCGTAAAGGGTTAAGATTCGATGATATAGGTTTTTCTAAACTGAATATAATAAATATTTGCTGTTAGAATGGTCGAACACTGGCAGTATGAGTAATAGTCGATATTTCCACCAAGCATCCATGTTAACAAATGGAAAGGTGTTAATTACTGGTGGCATGTCTCCTTCTTCTTTGAATAGTGCTGAATTGTTTGATCCGGCAACAGGAGTATGCACAGCCGCTGCTAATATGATTTATTCTCGAGCTTACCATACGGCATCCGTATTAGCGAGTGGAAAAGTGCTAGTTACTGCTGGATCTGGTAGTGGTGGGATTTATAACGCCGAACTGTATGATCCATCAACAGGAGTGTGGACACTCACTAGTAATATTAACAGAGATCGATATATACACACAGCATCCGTTTTAACAAATGGGAAAGTGTTAGTTACTGGAGGATCTAGTAGTGGTTTTGCTACAAATACTGCTGAATTGTATGATCCATCAACAGGAGTATGGACAGTAACTGGTAATATGAACTATGCTCGATATTACCACGCAGCATCCTTATTGGCAAATGGAAAAGTGTTAGTTACTGGTGGGTCTGGCGGTAGTGGTAGCTATTTAAATAGTGCTGAACTGTTTGACCAGGTGACAGGATTATGGACAGTCACTAGTAGTATGAATTATGCTCGGCAAGTACACACAGCATCCGTGTTAACAGATGGAAAAGTGTTAGTTACTGGTGGATCTAATGTCGGTGGTCTTACAAACACTGCTGAGTTGTATAATCCATTAACAGGAGTGTGGACAGTCACGGGGAATATGAACTATGCTCGATATTATCACACAGCATCTGTCTTAGCAAATGGAAACGTGTTAGTTACAGGTGGGATTAGTAGTATTATTTATACAAGTAATGCTGAGCTGTATAATCCATCAACAGGATTATGGACAGTCACTGCTAATATGAGCTATCCTCGATACGCACACACAGCATCTGTGTTAAGCAATGGAAAAGTATTTGTTACTGGTGGATTTGATGGTACTGTTTATTTAGCTAATTCCGAGTTATACCAACCTTAATAAACAAACAAACAACGAACAGAGTGTGAGTGTGGGTGTGAGTCTTCAGTTCAACCATACACCCACAGCCACAGCCACAGCCACACCCACACACACCCTATGGTTTTGCTAATGAACATTCAGGTTGTTGTTCAGCAGAAACATTACCATCTGTTATTATTCCACTTTCTCCAGTTAATGTTCCTCTATATCCTCAGAAGTGTTCAACACATGCTCAATGTAAAGATTATCAAAAATGTTGTGGAAGTTGTCGACGACGTGTCAATACGACACTCACATAATTTCAAAGACTAGTATTTCTTTTGCATATAAGCGCACTGTAAAGTTTTTTTTGCTAACTAATAAAGAAGCTTCCATTTTTTTAACTAAATGTTTGATTTGTCAATTTAAAACTTCTTTCGCCTTGTAGTGCTTTCAATAGTATGAGAATCGAATGAAAAAGACGAGATTATTATATTGCATTAAATGGCTGACGAATATTATTTTCCACTTTCAACTTTTAATAAATGCCCTGTTGGATGAATTTCAAAATTTCTGTTTCTGTTGAGAAATAGCTTCTGACATTGTGGCAAAATGATCTGTTATCAAGCAAGTATATTACAAAGTGTTTGACTATGTGTGTGTCATAGTTGTTACATGATACTTGTATGTCAATTCACTTCAAACAGATTAGCATTGAGATTGTCAGTACTTACATCGATAAACATTTATTTAAGGTTATAATATCCAACGAAAAGAGTGGTGCTTTATTTTCGTTATATATCGATTATTCACTATGTCTTATCCATCGAACGTTCGAAATGGAACATAAAGTGGAGAAGAAAATAGTTCCTGTTAAAACTTGGAAGGGACACTCATGGTTTGAATGGGCACAATTACTGATATCGTTTTCTATTCCGTTAGTCGTTATCGTGTATACTGTTATACAGTACAACAATGATAGATCGATTGCTCAAGAGAATCGCCAACAAGATCTCCAAATAGCACAAGAACAGCGTGATCAAGATATTATGTTGGCTGAAGATCAACAACAAGAAGTCACACTTGTGAACTATTTTAATTCATTCGCTAAGCTGCTAGAAAAAAACGGGATGATGCTGAATAAAACTCCTGGAGCTCGTCCCATTGCCAGATTTAAGACATTAACGGCACTTTCACAGCTCCAACCGAAAAGAAAAACGCTTCTTATTTATTCATTATTGGAAAACGGTCTTCTTAGTATTGTAGATGGTCGTGCGCAAATTATTAACCTTCGAGCAGCTGACCTACGCGGACTCGACTTTAAGGGTTACCCCGTTACAGTACTTACCTTCGCGTGTGTCGACATGAGTGAGACTACGCTAACAAATGCATCATTTTCAGGCCTATATCTTTACAGTGTTCGTTTCGAGACATCTTATCTCACCAATAGTGACTTTTCTTCATCGACTGGTCTTAGTAGCAGCTGTGGTACGAAGTATACACATGGCATCGACTTCTTTGAAGCAACGCTGGATAACTCAAATTTCAATAATTCAAAACATGCCAGAAGTCATTTCGATAATGCTTCGTTAATCCATGCACGACTGCATAATTTCATTTGCTACGGATGCCAGTTTTGGTATGCGCACATGATCTATACTGACATGAGCAATTCACAATTCATACTTGACGCACACACGTACACATCAACAGGTATAGACACAACCTACACTGATTTTACTCAGGCCAATATGACATATGCTAAAGCAACACGTGCATCCTTCATTCATTGTATATTCCGAGAGACAATTCTTGTTAACACTTTACTTGTCGAGAGCACAATCGTTAATTCAAGCTTTTATCGAGCAAATCTCACAGGCAGTTCATTGAAAGGATCCAAGGTGAGCAATACAAATTTTACCGAAGCTAAAATGCGTCGTGTTGACTTCACTCATGGTGAATGTCACCATTGTGTATTTATCAACGTTGACTTAACAGAAACCGACTTTTCAAATACATCTTTAACGAACAGTGATTTCACACAAGCAAACATCACATATTCACAACTCGCTGTTGCTCGTAATCTTGACGGTGTTATTTTTCCTTAAGGATCTATTCTCCACCCAGGTAAAAGAAACACGGCCGTAAACGGTCGTTTTCGTTAATTTTTTCGCCGTTTGATATGCATCGTATTACGGCCGCTTTTCAACGTGTCGTAAACGACCGTAAGCGGTCGTATACTCAATTTTTTGGCCATTTTAGTGCCGTGATTAGCCGTTTACGACATGGCAAAATACGGCCGTAATACGATGCATGCCAAAACGTCAAATTACGGCGATTTACGGCCGTAAACGGTATGAAACAATAGTATACGCTAACGTGTTCGACCGTCTACGACCGTATCGGGTCGTCATAATGCTCGTCCTGGGTAATGAATCAGTTTGCGCTTATATGTAAAGTTATGATAGGAATCAACATATATTTCTTTCTCTTTAACTGTAAACATTTATTATTTATATAAATATGTTAAATATAACAATAATAAAATAAATTTCGAATAGAAAAATGACGAAATTGTTAGAAAGAACGTATCGAGTGGTTTGATTCTACATCCCAGGTCGAGAAGTACCGGCCGGTTCCGGCAGGAAAACACCGGAAATAGCCGGAACATGGAAGCAGTATTCCGGCCGGAAATTTTCAGAATTTTTTCCGATGGTTTTCCGCTCGGTTCCTGCCGGAAAACACAGGAAATTGGTCGGAATTCACCGGAGAAAATCCGGAGAATTTCCGGCAGGAATACTGCTTCCATGTTCCGGCTATTTCCGGTGTTTTCCTGCAGGATACGGTGGTTTTTTCCGCATTTTCCTGCCGATTCCTGCAATATCCGGTGGCCGGAACGATGGACCTAGGATACTCATTCATTTTGTTCAATTTGTTCTGCTTATTCTTCGCAAAATATTTAGGAAAAAATAAATAATATAATGGTTTGAAAATAAGTTTATATAATAAAAATATTTCTAAACAAACAATTGTAAATAAAAGATTATGAAAAATAATTTCTGAACGTTTAGCTATTGATTGTTGTAAATTTTAAGCATAATATGGAGTTTCACTAACAACAACTGTTAATGTTGTTAATGTTGAATTTGAATAGGCATATTGATCTCCTGATAAAAATAAACCCAGGTCGATGATTTCGATGACCGTAAACGATCGTACACGACCGCATACGTCCCCGTAAACTCTGAAATTACGACCGTAAGCGGCCCATTTTTCACCCGTTTGGTAGTGACAGTATTACGGCCGTCTCTCACCGTGTCGTATACGGTGAAATACACCTGACGAATACGCCAAGATCTGTACCGGAATACGGCCATGTTTGAGCGGATACGATCGGACATGGCGACGTTTCCGGCCGTTTATCGTCGTGAACCGTCGTGATCAGAGCACCTAAAACAATCACACCGATACATCCAACACGATTTCTTTTGATTGGCCAAATCACTAATCTCATCACTCCAATTCACCCAGAAAACAAAAACAACAATAAAAATCAAAGACGCCTTTAAATGCCTTTTCTCACTTCGCAAAAAAAAACTATTATTGGGTTTTTAAATCACGTAAATCATTTAGGTCAACTTGCGCCTACCTTCGTCGGCATCGATATGAAGTGAACCAGGTGCTGATAACTTTACATATAAGGTGGGGCCCATCCAGGTGTAAATAGTCAGATCAAGTGTGAGCAACCAGTTCGGCTGTTCGTCCGTAGAATGCCTGCACAATGGCTTGTTCTATATGCATGCATGCATTTCCATGACGAAACCATGCAATTTCAAAATAGAAAAAAGGGCTTTTAACCTTTTAAAGGCCTTCAAAGTCATTTTGAAGGCGTTAAAAGCCCTTCAACGGCCTTGTTTCATTGGAAGCCATCAAATTCTAAGAAAAACTGATTTTATTTCTAAAAATTTTAAAAGCGACACCCTTTTTGCCAAAAATTTATTATTAGGTTCCTAAGTCTCTTATGCTACTGAAGTGGACTTACACCTACCTTCTTCAGTGTCAAAATGAAGTGAACCACGTCGTGACAGCTATATATAGGGCAGGTCCGTACGGTTTTGAATGATTCATCCGCCTGTGAATAGTCAGTCTAGCAATGAACAATCCTTTCGGCTGTAGCTGCGCAAAAAGTTCTCAACATCCCTTATTCAATTGGGCTAATCCTAGGGAGTACCCAGAACTCTTCAGAGATTATCCTAGACGGGTACCTCGAACTCTTCAAAAACTATCCTAGAGGGTACCCAGAACTCTTCGGAGGCTATCATAGGGGATACCCAGAATTCTTCAAGGGCTATCCTAGGAGGGTACCCAGAACTCTTCATTGCCTATCCTAGGGGTATCCATAACTCTTCAAGTGGTATCCGACGGGGGTACTCATAACTCTTGAGGGACTACGCTGCATGGGTACGCATAGCTCTCCATTTCCTGTCCTAGGGGGCACCACAAATTTTTGTTGCTTATCCTAAGGGGCACCCATAGCCCCGCAAGGGCTTTTTGGGGTGGTACCCATTACTCTTGCATGGCTATCGTACCGTAATGTTCGCCGTGTGGGGTCGTGTTTAGCCAGGTGCGTATGTAAACGTTGCAGAGTAAATCGGACTGTGGGAAGGCAGGGACGAGTCATTCGTGACTTTTATCCTTCTAAATGAGTAATACCTACGAGGGACGTTCAAAAAGTTTCCGGACTGGCTTTATTATAAAACAATAAGAAGCATTATTGTGGGGTGTGGGTGTGGGGGTGTGGGTGTGACTAAAGAGTTCCCTGCAGTCACAGCCACACCTATACCCACACTCAACCCACCCACACCCATCCACACCCACATCCTGACTCACATTTGAGTATGTTCCTCTTGTTAGTGATATTTCAGTCATACTATCCGTTATTCTAACCCAAAATCAATATTTGATTTCTCGGCTCTGCTAAATCTGAAATAGTCCTTGCTCTCGATGATGATTTGCAAATAGGAAAGACTTTCGGCTTTGTATGAATAATAATAGTGTTTCTATAAATCGAATATGTACTGTGCCCATTTAGGTAAAAGGTCGCCAGTATTTATTTTATAGCCAAATTCAATAAAATCTTTTATTTCAATATTCAAACATGTTTGACTGATATTTTTATTTGAACTGGTTTTTAAAGCCATGTAATGTTCTTGAATACGTTTTTTTAATTCATTGAAATTAATTTTATCTTTGTCTAATTCAATCATATGTGGAGTTTTTAATTTTGACGATTCGATTAAAACTTCATTTGTGTTTTCATCGTATTCCATTCCACTAGCAATTAATTCTGCTCAAATTTGATGTTCATATGAACGTGATAACATTTCATCATCTGTTTTTATCATATTTTTTGTTGTTTTATGAAATTTTAAATAATGCTCAACTGTTAAAATAATCTTTAGAAGAACATCATCAGCATAAATATTTCCTTTTCTTCCTGCAGTTCGACCAATATCAATCATAAAACCCATAATCATTTGTTCATTCATTAATTCATGATTCGGATACTTCGTTGCAAGTACATCAGCAGCAGTTATGTGTAAAAGAAAATGTGCACTCGAGCTATTCGGTTCAATATTTCCATAATAATCTTTCATTTTTTTTT